TTCTCATTATATCGATCTGCTCCCTAGCAATGACGCCTACCTCGGTTTATGAACCGGCGGGCTCTTGGGACTCTATACATGTTTTCGAAACTGCCGAACGAGGGAGGCAGGCGCACTATAAGCTGACATCGACTGTCATGCTTCAACTTATCACACGGAAGGGGACTGAAGGCGAGGTCAAGCTTCCAGCGGAGAAGAAAGGTCTAGAGAACAGTAAACGGGATGGGGAAGTCAGTTTGAGCGGTAGTATGACGCGTCAGGTGTGCACTGGCCTTTCACACTTTCTCACTGACCTGCTGAACCTATCGCTACTCGTTTCAGAGCGAACAAGACTGGCCACTACATGATTCATCTTCACATATCTCGAATATTGGAAGGATGATTGAGGAAATGGAGATCAAGATGAGAAATTTGTTACAAGAGGTCTGTTTGTTCCTCTTCCTGCCCTCGCAATTCTCAAACGGTGATCATAGGTGTACTTTGGAAAGACTCGCGACATCGTTTACGATCTTAGAAGCGTCGATGACCTTGAAAAGGCGCGACGACAAAAGGAATTGCAGAAGGAGCTGGTGGGTAGCTTCACCAAGCGACCACCCACGGAAAGTCGAAAGTCTGGATAATAATAATAACGTGTAGTATCGAACCAAAGTTTTCGAGAGGAAACTGTAATATAGCTTGTGGCTGAAATCTAGGATTTACGGATTCGTCTTCCATATAGGTCTGCGTTGGGGAGACTAGGGATGCACCATGGCTCAGATACTCGTTTTCGCTTGCCGCATACTGCCGATGTCCAAATGATTCGTTGTGAGAAAAAAATCGTTTAACTATTCCATCGACGCTTCTTCCGCACATCAGAACCATGGAAATAATGGTCCGTAAACCGCATGAAGGCATAGGCCTTCCAATAGTAGGAAACCGTCAGCGCCGACCTGCCAGCTCAGCATCGGCAATGGGATTTGAGTGTATGGTAACCTGAGAAGGGAGTAAGACTCTACGATAATGTGAAAAGACTAGAAACCAACATGGGTTATCTTGATTTCGTTTAACGGCCTGTTCTTATTATTGACTGGAACGCGTTCTATGGCATCGAGTGTCGAGTCACTGCCATCGATCACCTTGCCAAAGATGGTGTGTTTGCCGTCAAGATGAGGCTGCTTCGCGTACGTGATGAAGAACTGGGATTTGTTCGAATCGGTGTCATTTCCCGAGTTGGCCATGGCGACGACACCTCGAGTGTTAAACTAGCGATTAAGCCGGCTTGCGGATCAGACTAAGAATTATTGAGAGTGAATTTCACGCGGACCGACTTTGAGCGTTGCCCTAACTTCGTCAGAGAACGGTGCGCCCCAGATGCTCTGGCCGCCTTTGCCAGTGCCCGTCGGATCGCCGGTCTGGACCATGAACCCTCTTATGCTGCGGTGGAACATACAGTCATTGAAGTAGCCCGATGCGCATAGTGCGAGTAAATTCTAGAGATAAGGGCGATCAACAAGTGAGAAATTGATAGCTGTGGACACGGACTTCGGCAGCCTTTGGGGTGGCTTCACAGAAGACTTCAATCTGGGCGATGATGAGGACATTGACAGCGGACAAGGGCGGAGGGAGAGAATACCTTGAGGTCGCCGTGGGTGGTATGGAGGGTTACGGACTGTCAGTTATGGATATGTCAGTCAAGGCTTAAGATGATGGAACGGAGTAGAGTACCATTTTCGTCTCCAATTAGCCGTGTGACACTGATGAAACTCTGCGAAGCGTGACCGAGAACCGCGTCAATTACCATCCATTTCCTCTTTCTTCTTTACGACCATCATCCTCATGCGCTCCCCATCCCTCTACAGCCAGGATGACCCCATCACCGCCGCCATGAAACCCCCCTCGTCCGAGACAGAGTCGGAGCGTGCTGCTCGTCTGGAGGCAGAGGCCGAAGCCAAACGGGTCTCTGAGCATATCGACGAGGATTTGAGGGAGGAACGCGAACGTCTGAAGAAGAGAAAGGGAGACGTCAAGGTCCGACCGTCCTCGCATCTTTCTCCTCGCATACATTTATATGCATTCTAGTTATTGCTCTTGGGACAAGCCGAGAGCGGGAAATCGACTCTCCAGAAGCAGTTCCAACTTATGTACAAGCCGAACTCGTTAGATCAAGAACGGTTATCCTGGAGGACTGTCATCTATTTCAACGTCGTGCATTCTCTGAAACATATTCTTGATACTCTGGAGGCCTGGGACGACGTTCTCGACGATGATATCGATCCACCAGAAGATGCGCAGTCTGTTTCAGCGAAGAAGGCCAAGCTCAATGGGATCGCCGACCAACCATCACCTTCAACCTCGCTGATGGATGCCGCTGCTCTCCAGGGATCTCCGAGCTCACTCGGCCATTCCGTTGCCAATGGCTCTTCTAATCATTCCGTGCGCTCGAAAGACGCAGGAGCTCTTCAGATCGCAAACCTCCGGAGCCGGCTGTCCATCTTGGTGGGCATGGATACTCAGCTCGCTGACCGACTCAGTGGTGGTATCAATGTTTCCGGTTCTGGGAAAGGCGGGGTCTTCGTGCGTAGCGGTTGGCAAGCGCGGACGATCGAAAACGCTCTCGGTAAAATCAAACAGAAGCGCCCATCTACACCCGACAAAAAGTTCCGCGAAAGCCTATCTTCAGATGCTCCGCCGGATGCGCTTGTTGCGGAGGTTGCCCGCCTCCTCGAATCTTGCGAGGAAGATATCCACGAGCTCTGGAGCCACCCAACGGTTAAGGGAATGATCGCTAAACGGCGATTGAAGCTGGACGAATGGTCTGAATTGTGAGTTCTTCCCAATCGTTTTTTGTTTATATCCATAATCATCGTATCGCGTAGCTTCCTCAGGCATATTTCTCGTGTTGCGTCGCCCGATTATGTTCCATCAACAGGTTTGATCGTTATTTCGTGATTAACATGCGCATATACGAACTCATTCTTTCCTCAGATGATATTTTGCATGCAAGGATCCAAACCATGGGTGTCGCAGAGCATATATTTGATGTCAATATCCATGGCAAATCGGTTACATGGCATCTCTTTGACGTAGGCGGTGCGCGGGGCCAACGGCATTCGTGGGTTCCCTACTTCGATGATGCTAATGCCATCATCTTTGTCGCTCCTGTGAGCGCCTTTGATCAGGTAGGCCTTGTCTTCACTTCCATTTCCCTCGGTTCTCCGGCGCAGTTGGTGTCCTATTTTTGTTTTGTACCGCCTCTTCATTTCACATCAATGCTAACCAACATTCCCGGACCCAGTATTTGGAAGAGGACCCCCGGACAAACCGCATCGATGATTCGCTTCAGCTGTTTACTCAGATATGTTCGAATGCGCTACTCAAGAGCGTCCATCTGGTGCTTTTCCTCAGTGCGTCATTCCACGCGTTTTGTTTTCAACAAAAGCATGGTTCTCACATGCGTCTCGCGCGTTTTAAGATAAAACTGATCTTCTGAGAGCAAAATTAGACAAGGGGCTCAAAGTCCGGAAATAGTACGTAACTTCACATCAGAATGGGTACATTCTGATCTTCGGCTTCAGCATCACCTCCTTTGGCGAACGGTCGAACGATTACGAGACCGTCGTTCAGTATTTCAGGGCACACTTCCTGCAGGTGCATAGACGGAATAACGAAAATCGTCGAGTGTTGTACACACACTTTACGAGCGTGGTCGTACGTACAAAGTTTATCTCGATGTGAGAGTCGTGTTTGACATTTATGGCTCGGCTTTGTAGGACACCAAGGCCACTCAGCGTATCATTGGAAACGGTATGTCGAGGTTATATCTTCATTTAGTCCCACAGCTGATTTCTATGTACTCTAGTGCGCGATTCTATCTTCAGAGGGTACCTCCAATCGGCTGCATTGGTGTAATGCGTGAAGACAACCGCCATAACGCTCTATGTTCTTGATGACCTGGTCATGCAACGGGTCGCCATTTAGAAGGTCAATTTTGATGATCTTCTCTTTTTTTCCTATCCTTGTCGTTATAATTATTCTCCGCATGGCGGTGTGCTTTGTTTCCCATATTTATGTCCCTTTTGTCTTTTCCATTAATCCTCCTTTCCCTTTTACCTTGCTTTCGAAAACGTACGCCACACGCAGATATTTCTTGACGCCCCGCGCACACCGCCGCTGTCTTGTAGAGGCAATAGCTTGCCCTCTTTCTCTTCTCCCGGCGGTTGTTGCAATGATCCACGCAAATGTATTAGTCACCCACAGTCACTCACTCTTTCACTCGTTGTTATTTGTTGTTGTCAATCCTAAGTTATTAATATCCAGTACGCAGTCGTTACTACTGCCTAATTCTTGCAGCTCACACAATCGAACATTACTTGCAAGTCCACGAGGGCCACGTTTCATCGCGTAGGACTTACCCCATGGAAACTGACATGAATGGTCATCCCGCGGAGAGATTGTCTGTATGTTAATGGAAGCCGTAGCGACCTGTGCGCGACGCCAGAAGGCGACCACCGATAACCCACCTCCGAGTCCTATTATTAGGGACCTATCTAATTTAGGCCGCGGCAGGGGATAATGCCAAACGCTTATTATTCCAACAGCGGTGGGACTCGCCTGGCACAATGAAGAATACGGACTTTTACGGATGTTCAGAAAGAGGCAGTTCACGAACCACGAGGTATGTAACAACGATGTTAAGGTTACCCGTCCCCGGTGTATTTCATGACAGTCCCACCGCTCGACATTCATTTTACATGTGTACTGCCGTGTACTCGTCTCCACTTTCGGAGGTTCGCCTTCAGTGTTTTTAGAGTAGGTACATAGAGATATTATAGATAGTGATTTGACTGTCTCTCAATAATAAATGACTTGGGCGCCGAAACGGGGGGTAACTGGGGCCTAATCCTGATCCTGAATAGATTTATCCATAGCTTATAGTTGAAAGACTAATGCCGTTTTGGAGAGGTCCATTGGAGGAAATAAACTTGTCAAAAAAATGGGCGGGAAAAGGGGGAGGAAAAAGATGCCACGTACCCGGATTGAACGAGTGACCTTCTCATGTCTCACAACGGCCCAGGCGGGCCGAAAGGGCGATACAAGTGAGACGCGCTACCACTACGCCAACGCGGCTTGTTAAAATGATAGGTTTTGTTCTTGGAAACGTGAGGGGAAGCCTTGTTTTCCACAATCCCAAGTTGAATTTTCCCAAAAGCAAATGGATTTTGCAAAGCCATCCTCCAGTACAAGGTATTTTTCTAGTATAAAAGTTTAGGTTATTTGTTTATTCATCCATTGGCCATGTAGCCCCCCACATTGTTCCTATTTTAATGCAGTAATAACACATGAGGATTTTCAAAATGGTTGGGACCCACATAAGGAACTCTAATATATTATCCAATAGTTAACATATCGGGCAACATACAAAGGAATGAAAGATTTTAAATATCGGGCACCCTTTATATGAACATTTGGTGTAATCGCTATTGTGCAACATATAAAGGAGCGAAATAGTTTAACTATCGCACGTCCTTTGTATGTTGCTGGATATTTTAACTACTAAATAATATATTGAATTTCCCTATTTGGATCCCAACAATTTTGGAAATGCTCATGTGTAAACTACATTTTTTTAGCCAGAACCAAAACTACCATTTCCAATCAAGTTAAAGTGGTTGCAACTTGGAAGGGTGGATTCAATCCCATTGCATTTTGTTTAAACAGCAGGTTCTATTATTGAAAACATGAGAGGGAGGCTTATTTTACACTGAGGCAAAGTTGAATTTCCCCAAAGCCAGTGGATTTATTATTTACAAGGGGGACTCTGCAAGATATTTTTTAGGTATATGAACTTGATTTATTTGCTTAATTACACATGGGCTATGCAGCCTTCCCGAGATAATCCCCATCTGAAGTGAAACCTTTTATTTAGGGGAAATTTCTCCTTTTTAGGACATTTTCCAAGAGTCACATGACACGCGATCTTGGGGGTTGTCAATGATGCGAATCTTCTTCTATCATCTTTCAGTTGACCAACAATGTCCGAATCCAAGAGAAAATCAGAGGGAGGAGACAGCAACAGGAAGAAGAAAAAATACCGATCAGTGAGAAATGCTATATCTTTACTTATCACATCCTGACGTTCCGACCAAGGATGGAACTCCTGTGTGGGGCAAGAGGCACGTAGATGGCCCTGGGGTCTGGGTGAGTTGTGCGTCGGTATACCTCATCGGAAAATCTCTTTTAACCTTCTATCTATAGGCATAAAAGGCAAGGAAAAACAAGCCATTGGGGAGATCTATGAATTGTTCGAATCAGTCTGTCGCCACTTCTATCCTGGATTCTTCCGCCACTTGAACATTATGGAATCTCAACAGGTAGCATTCGAAATCTGGCCAAAGGACGATGTCGGGGAGAATACATCAGACGATGATGAGGTTGCAGGGCTCAGCTTGGAGCAACAAGTCGCCAATGAAGTGTCGGCTATGAAGCGTTCTCGTACAGAAAACCCTCAGCACCGTTTTGGTAAGCTTTGCCTTATCTTTCCAAGGATAACATTGATTGTCCCTTCAGTCAATTGTCAAACGAATACCCCATGTGGTGGGTCGTTGGCATTCGCGCGTTCCTATCAAGGATCTGAAACAATACACAGCAATTTTTATTTCGTGTAAGCCACCGGTTGATCCAGTGGAATTGGTGGTAAAGTACATCGGTATGGTGGAAGATACAGGTATTACCCGTACAAGGTATGGTCCGCATCGTGTATACCATTTATCCGAATTTCTCAGCTGCCTTAGATATGTCCATCGCCTCGTCCCGGTCTCCGGAACCTGCACGGCAAATCTACCCGAAATCGAGGCCCTGTGTCAAGATGTCTTTAAAGCTTTTTTCGACAAACATCCTGGAACTTTATTTACAGTAAGAGGTCGATTCAGGTCCATCTTGTCATTGCGCTGAAACTCTTGCGGCCGCAGTACAAAATTGAATTGCGGGTTCGAAATCATACCACAATTCCACGGCCCCTCTTGATCCAAAGCATCGCTCAGTGTGTGCCAGAAGGCCACACGGTGGATTTACAAAACCCGCGGATTTTTATTCTGGTCGAAGTGTTCAAGGTTTGCCATCAATCCGGGACATTCTTCCAACTCGTTCTGACGATTGCTATCAGAGTGTTTGCGGTGTTTCAATCGTCAAGGATTACTACAGATTGCAGAAGTTCAATGTCATGGAAATCGCTAATAAGAAAAACCGCACCGATCAAGGTGGAGAGTCAGGAAGTCGAGTCTCCCAAATTCCAAAATCTACCGAGAGCGAGAAAGTCGAGAACACAGCATCATAAAATCTTGGTTGTTATCAAAATGATACATATATTAATCAAGAAATACATTTAATTCTCCCGTCTTCACAATTTAACAAATACGCAAGGACTATAATACAAGTCTTATATACGAAAGGATTAGTTTGGTGTAGGATAATGGACTAAGTTACAGAGATGGGAGAGATAAACCACAAAAACGAAGATGCCCAATTCCAAAGCAACGAGAGAATTATGATGCCCGATTCCAAAGCGACGAGAGAATTATGAATATCCAAAATGCTGGGAGTGCGAAGCCTGATCTGGCCCGTAAAAATGGGAGGGAGGACCTTGGTTGGTGTTGTAGTAGGATCCGATCTCTGACTGGGAACAGAGCCCGGAAGGGGTGCCTTCCTTCGAGACGGAGGGTAGGCGATGGTTCGGATGTGAAACACCAAGCGATACCGCATGGTTGGAAGCATGGGGTTGCGGAGCCAAAGGATTGTCAAAGCGACTGGTGTAGCGCGGGGTCATGAGTTGCGTCCAGCCGGCGTCTATATTATCGGGCTGTACAGATGGTTGCCAATGAGGGTAACTTTGCGGAGCGGGGGATGTCTGTGATGCCATAGAAATTGCCTTGAATTAGGGATGGTTCAGCTAGCGGGAAATCAATACAGTGCTGCAGGCTTACCTGATTATTTTCTGGCCCAGGATACACAAGGGGATAATTCAGAGATTGGGCATTCGTCGACCTCGGAAGGCTTGAGTCGGCGGCTTTGAACTTGTAGACAACGGATATAATGTGACAAGCTTCATCAAGTGCGTTCGAGGGGTCGGAATTCGTTGGCTTTAGCGTTTGCACTATGGTGTACCGCGTTACATCTGCTCCGATCGCAATTCAGGTTTAATTTGGTGGTCAGAGAGGAAAGAAGATACCTCGACTCGCACAAAGCTTCTCCCAAAACGTCGGGACGAGGTAGAAACTATACAGCCACCCAGATCGGCGCATCGGCGAAGAAATGCACTTCAAAGAGGTGTCTTCCGAGTGGATGGGAGAGGTGGATCCTTCGATGTAGACGACGAAGGTAGACTGTGGAAGCAGAGCATACAACGAAGGTAGCTCAATCGCCCCGGAAAGGTAGGGAAGGATATTACGGCCCGATCTATTCTGTGAAATTATTGTGCCGCTCGGTGGGCACGTCGGAGAAAGTTGAATTGATTGTGGGTTATTAGCGTCAACGTTGCTGAGTCGAATGCTTGGAGTGGGCGCCGGCCATAATTCGTCCTGCAGCTGGATTTTGACATACGTATGTTCTTGTTTCGTCGAGACAGGGTGTCGAGGGCCGGGCGGGGGGGATGGCGAGGCTGAAGCACTAACACTGCGTTCGGACTGAGAGCTTGAACCAGTATCGCGGATGTTCCGATGGGAAAGAAGTTGAAGAACTGGATAACGTCACGATCAATTCTGAAAAAGGAGTGAAAAGCGAATCTCACTTTTCTCTTTCTTACAAGTATCCCGAAGCTGTTGAAGGCGACTACCGACTTGCTTGGGTGTTCGACGTTTCCCTGTCGCGTCAAAAATGTAATCCGAGATGAACCGATTCCGCATGGGAAAGCGTCCAAGAATCGAGTCGGATTTGGACCCCACGTTTTCGGGGTCGTATTTTTCCAACGCTATGGGAAAAAAAGGCAAGTCAGTGACAGAAACGGTGGCCTCAAAGGTTGGACAACCTTCGAGAAGTGCTGCTTCCCTATAAAGCCGATGAGAGTCGCCCCCATGCCACTCGAAACGGTGTGACTCACAAAAGTGGCGGCCAGACAGCCTCTCCTCCTCCCTTCAAGGTCTTCCAACTTTTCCTGCCAGTAGCGACAAATTGTGCAGCATCCCGTGATCTCTCCTCCGCCGAAGGGGTGTAAGAAAGATCATCGACCGTGGTAGACATGATGAATCCATATTCCTGTTTGACGGGAGAGGATGAAGGTCCTGGTTGCCGATCATTGAAGGGCATTGTAGAAAATGCTTCCTCCTAAAGGCGACAGTTTGGAGGGGGTGGGCAGAGCTCCGACATGTCTGCTTTTAAGCTTCAAGAGGTCAATATGGTCCCGGGCAGGGCTGATAGTTACGGTCGAAGTGTATGGGTCCATGCATCCGATCTTGTACACCAATCACTCGGCGAAGCATGACCGTTGGAGATTCATCTCATTCTGCACAAGTAGATTAGGGCGAAGATTACTGTCGATCCTGATCTCAAGTAGCCAAGGGCAAACCCATTTGATCGGGCGACTACAACTGGGATTCCCTTGAATCCGTTAGGCATAACCCCATTTGTTCGGGAGGAGATCCCTCATGAGGGCTTGATGAGAGCCTTGCTGTTAGATTGCTGTTAGAGGCGTTATTTATATCAGAGGGTTCTCCATCGTTGAGTCACAACATGCCTTGGAACCTGAAATCGAAGAAAGCCTTAGACTCAGCATGCCATTCCCACACGAGTGGAATACTTAACCCACCACCCGGGCCTGTGCTAAAGGATGAAAGGGAGGAGAGAGCTATACACCTGGAACAATCATGTTCATCTTGAGGATATCCTGAAGATAATGTAGAAAGTTACGGTAAGCCTTCGCTGTTGAAGTTGGTTCAAACTTCAGAGAAGTTTGTGAGTGTTTTCTTCTGGGGTCATTCAATCGCCGCATTCCGGAATCCTTGGGGAGGAGTTGTACTTCCACCTGCGTCGTGCCCTTCGACTGTTGCCTTACAAGTCAATCTCCTCTCGTTCTTGTGATTTATTCTTGGAAACGAACTCTTTCAATCCTCCACAACGAAATTTATCCCAATGCACCA